TAATTAAGATGGCTGCAAAGTTATATTTTTGTAACGTTTAATAAACGAGCAGCAGTGTTTCAAAATCACGAGAGGAAGGCGAGTGATTCTAGACCTGATAAAACACGTGACTGCGAGTTTTTTTAACTTCTCCAAATACATTCCTAGAAAAGAGTGTCCCAGTAGAGATGATAACAACGATGAAAATAAACATACGAAAAAATATTACGTAGGATATCATCATGCAAGAAAATCAAATCTCACACTTGTTTGGAACTTTTCCTCTACTGACGGAAGAGAACATGGCGTCCTGTTCCAGAGGTTTTTGGAAACCTGAAAATGCCGAGGAAGAGAAGAAGTTAATCGAAAATGCTACCCCAAATACGTGTACACAAAAAATGGTGAAAGGTATCCTTCCCGGTCGCTGTACATCATGGTGTGTGGAATTCAGCGCTTTCTGGAAGAGACAAATGGTAGTGATGACTCACTGATAATGGACAAGAATGAGTACATAGCTAGATAGTCGTTTTAAATTTCGTTTGCTTTCTCCTGGTGTGTTAGTAGCAGTTTTGTCTGATGTTCGTGTATTATTTTGCAGGTTGAACTCATTTGAACGGGTTTTAGACGCTGAAATGAAGGATTTGACAGCAGTTACTTTATATTAGTATTCTTTATACCTTATTTTCCTTTATTTTCGCGGGTCTTTGAATTTCGCGAACTTAATATAAAGACGCGCGAAAAATAACGACCGCGAACTTTGATGTCGGGAAATTGAATGTCTTCCCCCTTAGGAACCATTTGAAGAGATTGAAGGTTCTATTGACATCTCCTCGAGCGGACATGTAACGATACTCTCGATACTTGATAATGACTCGGAAGAACGAGAAGACTTTTTTATTACTGTAAGACTGACTTTAAGAGGAGTACAGTTTCCTAGTAGAAACAGCACATGGGTTTTGTTGCAACTGTTGAATGACGTAATTTTTGTAAAAAAGAAAAATAAATAGACATTGAATAGTCAATTTAATTTTCGCGACATTAATTTCCTACAAACACAATTTTTCTCCTCGATCGCGAAATTAAAGAACCGCGAAATGTGCCGACATAAAATTTTCGCGAAATTTAAGTCCCGCGAAAATAAAGAAGAATAAGATAATAAGAATTCTAATGAGGATGAAATTTGAATATAAAGAATGCCAATGCCGCAAAATACAATCAGCCCCGCTCTCCCCTGGGACTGAAATCAAATTTCACCCTGAGGCTTTTTAGTTAGACAGTGTTTTGCCGGGGTATAAAACATCTGCACGTGAGTGATTTTAGAGAACATGATAGGGTGTTAGGCTCATGAATTGTTAATGAGTTTTTTAATTATCCATAAACACGCAAGGAAAAGAACGAGACCAATGTCTAGCCATGTTGACCGAGCGAAGTTAGTCAGTAAGGGATTTATTGTATGGGAAAAAGAACAGTTTTTCTTGCGGGACACAGTGAGTAATCAAGATAGCGTCATGTTACCTTCACGGGGAGCCAATCACAACGCAAGATTTGGTTTACCTTGTCCACTCACAGAGCTAGCCATAAATAAAGAGTATTTTTAATTCATTCTTTTTATTGATGTATTCACGCAATCACTTGATAACAAAAACAGATAATATCAAATATAAGCTGACAAAAGAAGCGATACTCATAGGACAAAAACAATACGAAATATACTTTGATTCTCATCGTCTATTCATTTTGCTTCAATGTGAATCATTTCTCGGTCTATTTACTTTCCAAGAATGAACATCTTAGATTTAACTACCTTTGGGCTATATCCTATATAATTAATATTAACTGCAGCTTATCAGCTTCAAACGTTAAACGTTGAACTTCATGATAGCCGATTTTTCTTGGACGTATGCATTAAATGACATACTGCCGTTGCCAAGGGTACTTTCAAAAACAGTCTTTCAGTCTTTCAAAACTGTATCTGTGGAATGAAACAATGAAATGATTGAAAATAAATAAATAAATGAAACAGTAAGGGAAAGGTAGAGCTAGCAGGCAGGAAGGAATAAATAGTTACGCCTGGTCATCGTTAAAGGAGCTCACTCATGGTATTTTGAATTATTTTGTCCATGTAAAAAAAATCACCTTCAAATTGAAGGAAACCTGAAAATAGTAGTTTACTGAAATAGAAAACACCAAAAAGAAGATAATGAACCATAAATGAACAAGGATGAAGAAGATCAAGACGGATTACAAACGATGAACATATTTAGTTTAGACTTTGACGTAGCTCCTTTAACGTTTATTATTATTATTATTATTATTATTATTATTATTATTATTATTATTATTATTATTAC